ATATATATATATATATAAACTTGAGAAATCACTAAATAGAGGAATTCCTAATAAACTGATAGTGGTAAATGGAACCATAAAAAACTTTGTGAAAGAAGATAAGGAAAGAGTTTAACAAAGAACAAAAAGCAGTAGGACAAATAGAAACAGCGAGGAGGTGGATTTAAACAATCATATTAAATGTAAATGTTCTAAAATTTAAATTCTAAAGCATTCCAATTAAAAGACATTATCAGCCTGGGCAAAAAGCAGGACCCAACTATAAGCTGTTTACATGAAAACAGCTTTAAAGATATAGGGTAAAAATAATGGAAAAAGATACTGTGAAAACATCAATGAAAAGAATATTGACAAAATTGATTTTAGAATAAAGAATCGTCATAAAGAGGGACATTTTAGACTAACGGGATCACATCATAAATTATATGAATGTCTAACACTGCCGTACACCTGAAACTAAAATAATACTGAAAGTAAACTAATTGAAAAATAAAAATTAAAGAAAGAAGGACATTTCATAATTATGGAGGAGTCAGTTCATTAAGAAAACAAAAATTTTAAATGTATATGCACAGAGCTTCAAAATATATGGGGCAAAACAACTAAAAAGAAACAGGCAAATTCATAATTATAGTTGGAGATGTCAACAATCCTTTTAAAGTAATTGATAGAACAAGTAGAAAATTAGCAAGATCATAAAAGACTTGAACAACATTTATCAACTAGTTTGATGTAGTATTTATAGACCTTTCAAATAAAAAGAATTCATTCTTTTCAAGTGTACGTGGAACATTTACCATAACAGACTATTCTGGGCCATAACAATACATTTAAGCGGACTGAAATAACACAAAGTATATTCTCAGACCACAAAGAAATTAGACAAAAAATAACATCTGAAAAAATCCACAGATATTTGGAAATTCGATAGTACCCTATGTAAGTGTCCCATGCTCAAAAAAGTCTAGGAAAAGTAGAAAATATTTTTAACAATAAAATGAAAACTAATGTCAAAAATTGTGGGAAACAGCTAATTAAATGGACCTGATGAAAAAAGGAAGACAAAATAGGAATATTAGTAATGAAAAAAGAGATATCACTATAGATCCTAGAGACATTAAAACAATAAAGGCATTTTACAAACAACTTTATGTCAATAACTTTTGGTGAAATCGAGAGTGTCCTTAAAAAAGATTATTAAAGCCCACTCAAGAAGTAGATAACCTGAATAGTCATGAATAAATTCATTTGCTGGGTTAAGTTGAGAGGATGGAAAGTACAGTGCTTGACACATTTATAGTATAGAATAGCAGTAGTTTTACTCCCCCATCTCATCTATCATAATTTTTGCTGGAAGCGGGAGTGGTTTTCCATATATTTTGTTAATTTGAAAATTACTGCCTGAATTCCTTAGGAACTGCAAAGCACACAAACCATTGTCATCTTAGTTGTTGCCGTTACTTGGACAAACACCAATTAAATGTGATAATTGTTCTTAAAATTTATGACCAAATTACAATTGAAAATAATGCTAATGATGTGTTTGCTAACCTCAAAATAAGCATTGAAGATGATTGCATGTAAAAGTATTAGCCCCATTTTGTATGTAGTGCAAGCCCATAGCAAAGTAACAAAGTCTAAGGTGGCACAGCTAGTAAGTCCAGATTTAGATTTTGAATCCAGGTTTGACTTCACAGCCCCTAGTAAGCACTGTGTGTGTGATAAGTACTATAAAATGCCATAAGATTATCCTTTTGGACCTTTTCTCAGAACTACTTTCTAATTATGCTTGATATAACCAGTAGGAATTTTTTAAAAATCTGAAGTATGGCATGTAATATTTTATGAAAAATGAAATAATTCAGTAATTTTACTGTATACCTGTACTTTGAAGAAAACTGTGTTTTGACATACTGAATGAAACAGATTCAGACATTTTTTAAAGTAACATGAGGACTTTAGTGGCATAGAAATTGTGTACAAAGACAAAAACATGGAAAGAATAGGAGTGTATCCATGTAGAAGGTTAATATAATGAAAGAAACAAATTAGAAAAGGAAGAAGGAAAAGAAGAGGTTGCAGGATATTGGCGTGATGGAAGCAGTAGAGACAAGTAGAATTTGGTATACAATCAGGTGTATGTACAGTCATCCACTTACTGCTTCGATCAAATTTAGACCTTAATGATACTGTAGAAAGGAAGATGCTTTATTTTAAAATTTAAAAGAAATACACACTCTGCATATTTAACTTCAGCGAGAGAGGGGACATTGGCAAGGCCCACTTGCTTAGGGGCTAGATAGAAGTACTCCAGTAAACTGAGTCTTAACTTCATTCGTTTCTTTCTCTTTTCTATTACTGATTATATTTGTCAATTTTCTTTATAAAAATTTGGTTATTAGAGAACAGACTAATTTTCTAACACAATGGTCCCACAAATGGATACACACAACTCAGAGAATGTGCAAGACCATCCATTGGGGTAAGAAGAAAACATATTTAAACTTATATTTATTTCACGTTTAATAAAAATGAATTCAATTTTGCAAATGTTTAACATACAGATTGACAATGAGGTTTTCTCTCACCTGGTGCATACCCAGTGGCCACACAGAATTTATGGTAAATAAGGTATACTGAGGGAAAAATGGGAATTCTACCTCAACAGGAGAGAACAAAGGGACTTTCAGCAAATTGCTACAGATTGTACTTTATGTGTGCCCACGAAATTTATTATCTACCAGTTTTAACAAAACTAACATTCATGAAGTAGATAAGTGGCTTAAGATTTTTACAAAGAAACTGCTGATTGAAGCTAATACTGCCAATATCAGAACAAGCAAACAAGAAGAAAATAGCATAGCAATGAACTCTGCCAACAACTTTTCCACCACGTAAATACAATGATCTACTCATGAGAGAAAAAAAAATCAAGCAAAAAAAAAATCTAGAAGACCAAAGATGGACTTGGATTCACTATCAGTACTATGAACCTTGCCCTAACAGTGTATTGATCTTATATATTAACTGATAGCACGTAGTCATCATGTTTAGCAAAACATTTAAAAATAAATGTTTAATTTTTGTCTAACCTTTAATTCCTATATTTGTGTATTCTTAGTGTATGCAGGTGATAATATTTACATAATATACATAGAACATTAGGACAAAAATTGGGATTTAATGTGATTTCCCCTCACAATATTCAGCTGTTGTTAATAAATAGCATTCAAAGAATCCAAAATTAAATGTTATTTTATAT